TAGAGTGACTTAGAAGAAACTAAGCAAAGTTGAAATTTTGAAGATAGCTGCAGTCATAGATTTCCTATCTCAGTATCAGTATATGAAACAAAGTGGATGCCCCAGCAGAGGCAACTGCACAGGACTGAAATTAGGCGATGGGGTTGGGGAGCAGAACTCTATTATCTGACACCCAATTCCTTCCATCAAGCTGAAGATTACGGCCCATGAAGGCAGATCGGATGTCATGGTTTGGATATAAAGTGTCTTCACAAAAAGCTTATGTGTTGAAGGGCTGGTCTCTGGTTAGTAGATCTAATCCTTGAGAGGTGATCGAATCATGAGGATGCTGACCTAAGCAATGAATGAATCCACTGATGGATTCATAATTTGATGGCAATATGGAAGAGATGGACGTGCTAGGAGGTGTGCATAGTAGGTCACTGGGGTCTGTGCTATGGAAAGATATACCCTATCCTCAGGCTCCCCTCTTTCCTGTCTGCCGTGAGGTATTGCACCACCACATGTTCCCTGCCATGATGTCTACCACACATGGACCCAGAAACAAAGGATAAAAACCCTTCCTCCCCGAACATGTTTTCTCTGATATTTTGCAACAGCGATGAAAAGTGACTCATACACCTGGTTTTTTCTAGAGTCATTGAACTGTAAGACAAGTAGCAAAGGAAATGATCCATGCTGAAAGTTTCTTCTTGTTATGTGAGCAGCTAATTGAAGCTTTTAAAGTTTGTCTATTAACCATGACCTTTATATTAGTGGCAGTAACAAAAAGATCCTGTAGGTTCTTAGAATTGTTCACAGTTTACGGTGGTAATTAACATGAACAAACAGGGCATGTTCCAGGGACAGGACTATTTAACTTTCAGTAGGAAGCCCTCTGTTGGCCCCTAATGTAACAGATCAAATTTGCTTTGGAAACAGCTGATGTCTGGGGAGGAGGCTGAAATGAGAGAATAGGACAAAGTACTTAGGAAGAGGGAGGTAGATTGATTTTGTTTGGATCTAGAATAAGCTCTGAAAAATACTTAGGTACAGGAAATACCACACGTTTCTGTCTACATTATCAGAAGTAGGGAACTACGCAGTCTGAGAGGGGGTGGCTGCCAGAGTCATGTTGTCTGTTTGGGGATAAGTGACCATAGACTTGCATAGACAAGCTGCAAGCACACTTGAACTCTTTTTTGGTGTCTGCTGGCCTTACTTGTTCTCTAAGGATCAACTGTATATATGGCAGTTGTTTAATTAAAGTGGGATAGTGAAGATGGGGATGGATAGAAAGTGAGGTTCACTGTTTTGAGACAGAATCTTGCTACCTAGCCCAGGCTAGCCTTGGGATTGCAATCCTCCTCCTGAGACTTTCAAGTGCTGGGGTAACAGACAGGTGTTACCGTGCCTGGTGCTATGGGCACAGAGCTTTGGAGCATAGTACACATGCCACATCTGTAAAGTGAGACACTGCTTTCACTGGGTATGGCCAAGGGCCAATGGAGTGGCCTTGGCATGGCATCCATTGCCGGAATAGCACTGGCAATGTGGGCAAGCAGGTCCTACTCACTCGTTTGGCATCCTATCTGACTTCTAGAAGCCTTTGTGCCTCTGACTCTTTCCCTCTTCAAGATGTCTGCTCCTTTGGCCCCGGGGCACACTCTTTTCTATGTCTTCGTGGCTTTTCTGTCTCCTTCCTTATCTTCCTCTTAGACCTAGGTGTTCTCTGGGCCCCATCATGAGCCTCCATCTCTTCTCAGTTTGGATTATCTGCCCTATTCTCCCATTCTTTCTTCCTCATGCCATCTCACGGCTGATAGCTACTAAGCTATGCTCCTAGTGCAAACCCCCTGAGCACCACGTGTCCCATGGCTTATGGGATATGTACACTTGGGTGTCCTAAGGCACTTTAGACTCAACCCACATAAAATGAGAACCATCTTTTCCCTGCAGTAGGTTTCTTCTCCTGTGTTTTGGTTTTGATTGAACTTCATCCATCAGTCATTCCAGTGTGAAATCAGGAGTCGTCCTGCATTGTCCTAGCTAAGCCAGCCACATCTACTGTCTCAAAGTGTTTTTGGTTCCCATGTCTGTGCTTACAATAAGGTCTCTCTTTAGTCTACCCATCACTGTCAAAGTAATTTCTGGTATAATTTCTGGTAAGAAAGGCAAATTGCCACGACCCCTCTGGAATGATAAACACAAGTTATGAAACCCTTGGTGTCCTATTCTCTGCCACTCTTGCAGTCCAGTCCTCTGCCCTATCACTGCACTCTCCCAGCAACGTGTCTACCAGCTTACTTGGTAGCGCCCTGCCTATGTGCTGCTGCGAGGGAGTTTCCTGCTCCCTGGAAAGGAAGATTCATGGCTAACAGGCTTTGCAGTAGCATGTTGTATAGAATGTACTGCGTAGTCTTAAGCCACGTCCGTGGATATTTTCTCAGCAATTAAAGTTTCCTCACACTAGGGATCTTGTTCTTCTTCGGTCCCCAGAATCCACTATGACAGACAAGGCTCAAAATGTGATAGAAACGAACAGAAATACTTTCTTCAGAGTATTTTTCTCTGCCTCTGTCGCTGACCTTTGAAGGCACCAGCTCCCTTGGGGCTTCGGTGAGGGTTCTGTTCCCACTGTGCAGGTGAAGGGCAGACGGGTGGCTGGTTGCTTGCGGGCTGGGCTGGGTGGCCGCCCGCGCGCCTGCGCCCTCTGCTGCTCCAGCCCGGGCGCATCTCTGTGCGCGTGTGTCTGTCTGGCCAGAGAAGCTAGGGTCACCGGCCTGGACAGGGGAGAAGAGTTCGCCAGCCCGAGTCGCAGTCTCACTCACTGATTTCTGGGCGGCAGAACTGAGCCGGTGTCTGCAGGCGGCTTTCCACTTTCCGGGCGCGCCAGGGACCCCACCTCCCGCAGCTCCTCTTCCAGCCCCGCAGACAGATCGACCGACACTCTCGCTAGTAAGTAGCGGAGGCTTGTGCGCCGAGGCAGAACGGCGAGCTGTCCCCAGAGATTCTGTCCTCCCACGGGCTGTGTGTGTGAGCGTGTACGTGTGTGCGTGTGCGCGCAGGAGTGTCCCTGGGATTCCGAGATCCTCGCGGAGACCCGCGTGTCCATCCCATCCGAGTATGCGCTGCGCTACAGCTGCTCGGCCAGGCAAGGGCTTCGACGCCGGGATTCCCCAGCTCCGCGCGCCCCTGCGGGTGGAGTTCCCCCGGAAGGCGCAGGGTGAGCAGGCGGCGCCGGGAGACCCGGCTCGCGGGCCTCTGGCAGGCTGGGGATCTGCCAGCGGGTCCGGCAGGAGTCAGTCCAGGGAGACACCCCTCGCCGCCAGCTTCTCAGCCTGCCTTTCTCTCCCATCCCTCCTCTTCGTTTCCCAGCATCACAAACGCGCGCCGCAGAATGAAACCCTGTGCCGCGGAGCCGCAGTCCTCCCACCTGGTGCACACCGTCCCGGGCGGGAGGAGTGGAGTGGGGTTCCCCAACATTAGGGACCCAGGCTTACTCGGGGCCACACCTGAGTTGGTTTTAGCTGAATTCAAGCCGAGTGCTAGATCGTGCGAGCGGTTCCAGCACGCCTTCACTGGGAGTGAGTGACTCTGTGGTGTGTGTGTGTGTGTGTGTGTGTGTGTGTGTGTGTGTGTGTGTCCGCGCAGGCGCGCACGCACCCGGGCCCACGTTCTCGGGGTGCGCTCAGTAGACAGCACATGTCCCCGCCAGCTTGCCTGTGCCGAGCCGTCTCCGGGGGCTCCTTGCGCACGCTGTAACCGCGTGCCAGCAGCTCCCTTTGTTTGGTTGTGGCTTCCCCCATCCATCTGCAAAGCAGATTGATTTTCGGTTTAGCTTAATGTTGCGCTCTGGGACTTAACGTGGGTCACAGCCTCAGATGCCCCGGGTTCTTGTAATTGAATAGTTCTTTCCGACAAGGGGGCTATTTTTAGTTTTGCGAGTAAAGAGGCAGGCATGTTGACCTTTTTTACTGCTGCCTTTGAATAGGTGTACGAGCAAGATGTATTCACATCTAGTCGCGCATACGTGTCAGCGCACAAGTGTGCACACACATTTCTACACGTAGTTTTCCTTCTTTGTCTTTAAAAACAATCGTCTTTTTTAAAAATTGAGACTGGGAATTTATTGTTTGTAAAGAAAAAAATCTTTTCTTTGTTCTTTGGGGCATTTTCTATTTTGAGTCATGGAGTAGGAGTACCAAAAGGTTGCAATTAGTTCACTGGCATAAAAGACTCTGCCTCTTGAGTCAGAGCTGCCAGGTGGATAATTATTAACATATAAAAGCAAGCGCACTGTTTAAGGCAAAAGAGGCGGGGCGAGGGCAGGCCCGACTCAGACAATGAGCGAGTCTCTGCCGACCGCCTGCTACTTATTGTTCCTGGACCCTGCAGCCCGCTCCGCCTCTCCTCGCTCCCACCTCAGTCCCTCTGAGCACCACCCGGGTCCCCTAAAGCTAGCTAGCCCCTGGGCGCCGGGACGCCAGTCCCAGCTGCAGCCAACCTTCCCTGACCGTCCTCTCTCTACTTTGCAGGTTGGTAGCTTCACGCCCCAGGGTGTCCCAAGCCCAGCAGCGGACCTCGAACACCCCTGGGACCAGCAGAGGAGATGTGGTGCGGACAGCCTCGCTAAGTGCCCTCACCTTGGGCACCCGGCGCACTAGCTCCTGGCCACCGGCCGAGAGGCGGCGGCGGCCGAGGGGATGCGCCCGAGACGTGTCAAGCGCCTACTGCAAACTACTGCCCCTAGGCGGACGCCGAGCAGGGCTCCTCGCTGGACCGCGCGGACACTTGCCTTCCTCGGCCCGAGGCTGCAGAACCTCAGGGACGCGCCTTAGGTCGGGATGCTCGGGGCACCTCCCTGCTGGTGAGATGCTCTGCTGCGCGGCTCTGCCATCCCCAGCCTTGGTCTCAGGTAGGCACGACTGAGTGGCCCGGTTTCGGCCCCTCCTGTCGGTGGATGAAAAACGCCGGAGGCCTTGTGTGGGAACAGAGAGCGAATCGGAATTCTAAGAGCCATGGACGGAGGCGCTGCACTGCAGCCCTCGCTCCGAGAGCAGTTGGAGGCACCAGTCCCGGTAGGAGCTATCCGAGGGACGAGCCAGACAGGGACCTTCAGGTCTAAGAGTTTACCCATTCTGCACAGCACCTCCTGCCGGCAGAACCTCAGTCCTGCGAGTGCAGACGGACAGAAGGCCTTGGGCTGCACTGAAGCGTTGGGTCATCAGGAGTTGCGGCCAGGCCGGAACCCAGTGGTACCTAGCCAGTCTGCCCCATCCACTTCGGCAGGGATGACCGCAGGACTCGTGGACTGTAACCACAGGATGGACCCCAGCAAAACTGTGTCCGTGTCCTCCACTCTGGCCACGCTCCAGAAGAGAAGGTGCCTCTACATGGTCCTTACCGATTCCCGCTGCTTCCTGGTTTGCATGTGTTTTCTGACCTTCATCCAGGCATTAATGGTCTCTGGGTACCTAAGCAGTGTCATCACCACCATTGAAAGGCGCTACAGCCTGAAGAGTTCTGAGTCAGGGCTGCTGGTCAGCTGCTTCGACATCGGGAACCTGGTGGTAGTGGTGTTTGTCAGCTACTTTGGTGGCCGAGGGCGAAGACCCCTGTGGCTGGCGGTGGGTGGACTCCTCATCGCTATAGGAGCTGCAGTCTTCGCCCTACCTCACTTCATCTCCCCTCCCTACCAGATCCAAGAGCTGAACGCTTCAGCCTCCAACGATGGCCTGTGTCAGAATGGCAACTCCACCGCCACCTTGGAGCCTCCCCCGTGTCCCAAGGACTCGGGAGGAAATAATCACTGGGTGTATGTGGCTTTATTCGTTTGTGCGCAGGTTCTCATTGGAATGGGCTCCACACCTATTTACACCTTGGGACCAACTTACTTGGATGATAACGTCAAGAAAGACAATGCATCCTTGTACCTAGGTAAGACTTGCTGTTCTCTAGGGTGCAGTTGCCTTGCAGATGCATGAATTACTATTCTTCCTCAAATCGGAAGGAAGCAGTTCTTTTGAATTTTCAAATATATTAAGCACTGACCTTCACTGTATTCTCTGCATTCTATGCCGTACCCTTGGTGTGGTATGTTTTCAGTTTGGGGTAGAGAGTTCTTGAAACTAATTTTCAGACTCTCAGTTCACATTTGTCCTTCCCACCTAACACAAACTTTGAACTCTGGGACAGTGCATCTCTCTCTTGCTGTCTACCTTTGGGAAGGCTCTATGTTGTCAGGTTTAACCTCTTAAGAGCTGTCCTTCCTGGAAGAGATCAGAACAGAAGAGAAGCCCACCCCAGTGGGTGGGGTTGAGCTACTACTTCATTTGCTGCCTTTCCCCATCTCTACCAGCAGACTAGGGGGTAACCAGATCACATATGATGTGGAGCAACAGCTCCTATACCTGTATCCCAAGCAGATCACCATGTCACCATTAGAAAAACAAAACAAAACAAACAAAAAAAGAAACACTAACAAAGCCTGCAAAAGAGCAGATAAGTAAATTCTGCCCATGAAGCTGCAACCCCACAGATTGTAAGCTTTATCCAAAGCTATTTTCTTCCTGCATTAGAGTCCTTGGTGACATGAACTTGAGAGAGTTTATCACTATCTTCTGAAGAACATGGGCACTGGGATTTGGTTCCTTGACGTGCACTTAACAGCATCAGCGGACAGGGGTGTTTGTGTTAAGTGCAGGGTGATCAGGGGAGGTCAGGCAGACAGAGCTAGGGCTAATTGACTTCCTAAAAGTAAGTCTGTGTGGTTGTCAGCACCTCTCTCCAGTAGCTGCTCTTTCAAAAGGTCACAGAAGATGGATTTGAACCCCTGGAAAGGATCAGTCACATTAGATGGGATCTTTGTTTTTCTGCTTCTCTACTGGGGTCCAATTAAACCTTGATAAAGGCTCCCCCCGGCCGTGTGTGTGTGTGTGTGTGTGTGTGTAAAATCCATAGGACAACCTTGGGCATTGCTTCTCAGGTTCCATTTGTCTTTTTTAATTTTCATTTTTTTTTGTCTTTTTGAGACAGGGTCTCCCTGTCTGTAACTTACTATGTAGACCACGCTGGCCTTGAACTCCCAGAGATCTGCCTGCTTCTGCCTCCCGAGTGCTGGGATTAAAGGCGTGTGCCACCATGCTGGGCCCATCTTTTTTTTTAAAGATGGGCTCTCACTAAACTGTGATTCACCAGTTAGGGTAGTTGGTCAATATAAAGGTTCTTACTTTATAAAAATATTAAAATGGTAAAGAATTAAATACTAGCTATATTTAGTGACTTATTAGATGTGTGCCAATAGGATCCTTGGTGTGTAGATAAGGTTTTCAAAGAAAGCGGGAAGTATGGCACAAACGAATAAAGCCACATAGACCCAGTGATTATTAATATTTCAATGTAAGAGGGTTATGCTTTGTCCTTACTTAAGACAGTATACCCACTGTCTTAAGAAGCTGTCACAGAGGGGCTACTAAGTCCAGTTGTCTCAGTAATTGGCCTAATGCAGAATTTATAACTTACCTTTATCACTGATATTAAGAGCAAGACATTTTCCTCTGGATAGAGAAGACTAGTTTGTTACCTTGCCTTTATGTCTTTTAACAATGTGAAAAGTTTAAACATTCAAAAAACTTGAAAAAACAGTATAGATGAACATCAGCATACCCACTGTCCAGACTTGGTAACTGTTCACTTATCAGCTGGATATGCTGGCCCAGACCTATAATTCCAGCACTTGGAAGGTTGAGGTAGGAGGACTGCTATGAGTCGAGGCCACCCTGGGCTACACGTTAAGTACCAGGTCAACCAAGGCTGCACAGTGAGACACAGTCTCAAAAAAATTATTCATTTTGTCATATTTATTTTATGAATCGCTCTCTTTCTCTACCTCCCCCCGGCCCCCTCTGTGTGTGTGTGTGTGTGTGTGTGTGTGTGTGTGTGTGTGTGTGTGTGTACTTTTTGAGGTAGGGAGCTCAGCTCTTTGGAAGTCACTGCAAATACCACTAAACTTTAGTAAACCTCTTCTAGAAATATGGGCATTCTGGAATTAATACTTAGAAGTAGAGTACTTGTCTCATGGGAGAGGCTCTAGGTTTGATCATCAGCACTACCAATAAATAGATACAATGAACAACAAATGCATTTTTTTTTTTGCAAAACTACAGGTGCATTGGAATGCTAAGAAAGTTAATAATCGTTACCTAACAGCATGAAATTCCAAATTCAAACTTTAAAAACCAGAATCCCCCATTACCCTCTTATTAATATCACCACTTTTGACCATCTGCCTTTGTAGCCTTTCATAATGCAAAACGGTGTCTTAAACTTTTTCTTTTTCTGTGACATAGACTTTTTGAGGAGGCCGGGATAGTTGATGTGTAGAATGTTCCAACTTCTAGATTTGTTTGATTATTTCCCTGTGGTGTGAAATTGGTAGCTCAGGGTAAAGATTTGACTGAACTCAGACAAACCATTTGGTACAGACTACTTCATAGATGATGCCGTGTGTTTATAATACATGCCTCTGGCCTTTCACTAATGGTGTTAAGTTTAATCACTTGATTGAGTAGATGATTACCACATGTATTATTGGACAGATACTTTTTCCTTTTGAAAATAGTATGTGATTTTCAGAGTGATACCTTGCATCTGCATAATTATCCCAGTGGGTATCCATATTTCTGCTGGCCTTTGCCTGCAATTACTTGGAAAACTTGGGTCTCATTTCCATCATGCGGGTGAGCTATCAACATAAGCTTTCTCCATCAGAATCACAGTCCTCGTGGAAAGGGAAAGTATCCTCTAGTAAGAACTCTGAGATGTAACTTTTCTGATGGTAGTTTGTAACCTCGTAGTCCTGGTTGGCCTGGTACTCACTGTGTAGCCCGGTGCCACCCTGAACTCACTGTGCTTTTCCTACCTCAAGTGCTGGAATTACAGATGTGGGCCAGCATACCCAACTGACAAAATGAACAATGATTAAGTAAGCTGATGTTCATTATATTGTTGCTTCAACTTTTCTGAATGTTTAAACTCTTCACATTGTTAGAGGAAATGAAGGCAGGCTAAGTCGCAGACTCGCCGAGAAGAAAATAGCAAATGTACATTAAATACATGTTCATACATAGTCTATGCTGGTACTTTGCTAGGTTCTCCCCATCCCAGTGCTGAGGATTGAACCCAGGGCCTTGTGTATGTTAGGTAAGTGCTCTACTAATGAGTGACACCGCCTTCCCTGTGCTTCGGAGAAGACCAAAATAACAGCTATAACATTTGAGATATTTTAAAGATAGGGGTGTGAAGTGGCATTTTGGGGGGTTGCTACATGGCATTTGCTTTTTTTTGTCTTTTTAGAAAGATAGTGAATTGTTTTTTTGAAGAAAAATTTATGAATGTGTTAGGGTATGTCCTTAAGGTATTCTGCTTTATATTAAATGAATTTCAGTAATCAAAACAAGATTATTCCGCAAAGGTCTTTTTTTTTTTTTTCCTTCAGACAGAGTCTCACTATAAATAGTCCACACCGGACTGGGACTCATTATGTAGTGAAGTTTTCTCAAATTTGTAATCCTTGTGTTTAGCCTCCCGGATGCTGGGATTGAAGGCAGATACCAACATACTTGATTCAAAACTTTATAAAGTAGGCTTTATAGGCCACATCTGTACACATTAAGATTAGAGAGTCTGTTCTTTTTTTTCAGAACATAAGCAGCGTTAACCAGTTATGATGTGGGATTTTTCTAGCAAGTAAGAACAGTAAAAATAACTTTTTTTTCCCCACAAAATTGCTATTTTATATTAATTTTTCCCTACCCGTCCCTTTCCTAACCTTCCTGTCAGTCTTTCTAACTTCTTATTACCAAGAAACAACACAGCAAACCTTGCCTCGAGTAGCCCATTAGTAATTGCAGGCAGTGAAAAAAATAACTGAAGTAATGTTAAAACTATTGTAATTGTATATCCTAATCGTGGGAAAGCTCTGTGTTAGCATTCTGACAGTTTTAATTGTAAAAGACGAAGTCGTAGACGAGATAGCAGGGCTTATACCCACTAACGTCCCTGACTTCCCTGTGAGGATACAGGCTTAGTGTTGGGCTCAAACAAAGAGAAGTCTTTGTAGGTATTAATAAGAAGTGGGGTCTGAACTAGACCATGACCGTGATTTGTAACTGAGAGAGAGAAAGAGAGAGAGAGAGAGAGAGAGAGAGAGAGAGAGAGAGAGACAGAGAGAGAGAGAGAGAGAGAGAGGACTGGTCCACCTGGTTAGTACTGAGGATAAATGGAGCAAACTGGCTGTCAGTCAAGCAGTGTGTACCGGCTTTGCTGTATGCCTGGTGTGCCTTGACCTCAGAGAAGGGTCGGACCTGGCCCAGCACCTTAGAAGGAGCTCTGGAGGAGGAGATCCACCATACTTTCTGTACTTTAGTTCTTCTCTGCTGATGTCTTTAGATAAACCCCTTCACTTCTAGCTTCTGTTTCCAACTCAGATTATGACGGTTTCCCCTCTATAATATTTCGAGGATTAAGTGGGATTCTGTATGTAAGTATTCTGCAAACCTTATGGATGCCACTTCACTGTCCAAGCAGAATTCAGACTGGTTCATCCTAGAGTGTGGGCAGGAGGGGAGTAAATGATGATTTATGTCTTACATGTGTTTTCTTTCTAATTAATGGAAAAAGGAAAGAAATATTATGTAGAAAGCCAAAGGATTGTATAGGAAATCATGCCCTCAAAATGTGATGCAGGAAAATCTTGATCAGTGTTTTAGTAATGTGATGTCCTAACTAATTACATTTTAAGAGGACTCAAGATCTTGTAATCAGAACATTGTGCATGCCAACCTTGGATGAATATCTCCTTTAATGTATGTTTACATGATGTTTATTTATGCCTTGTACAATACAACAAAAGCTCTTTTTGAAGTTTGAGGGGCTTG